TGAGCCAGCCAGGTGCCCCTGTTTCCGTTTTCTAATGAACTCAACAATGATGAATGGATCAACAAAAATTGAAGTAGAATCAGAATTCTAGTTTTCCTCAGACCAGCAATAAGTAAAAAGGATAATCTACAGAACATGAATCACTCACCTGTAAGAACTGAAGAAAAGACTTGCCTTGTAAAAAGTTCTCAGTCCATATATGTCAGGGTTCTCTAGAGAAACAGAGCCAATAGGAGATTATCTATCTGTCTATCTATCTATCTATCTATCTATCTATCTATCTATCTATCTATCATCTATCTATCTATCTATCTATCATCTATCTTTATCTAAGAATTGGCTCACACAACATGGAGCCTGAGTAGCTTCAAGATCTGTGGTCAGCAATCTGGGGACTTGGTGGGGGGACAATGATGTAAGTCCCAGTCCAAAAGCCAGCAGGCCAGAGACTGAAGAAGAGCCAGTGTTTCAGTTTGACTGTGAAGGAAGGAAAAATGCTGATGTCCCAGTTCAAAGACAATCAGGTAGGAGGGGTTCCCTTTTCTTTGCAGGAGGGTCAGCCATTTTGTTTTACTCAGGCCTTCAACTGATTGGATATGGCCCACCCATATTAGGGAAGGCAATCTGCTTTACTTAGTCTAGTGATTGAAATGTTAATCTCCTCTAACAACACTCTCACAGACACCCTCAGAATAATGTTTGATCAAATATCTGGGCACCCTGTTGTCCAGCGAAGTTGGCACATAAAGTTAGCCATCACAGCCCATTAAGTAGGGTGCCAACTTACAGTAGGTTACAGTCATTGTGACCTGATCTGGTTTCCCACCAAAGCAAGAAGCTCTCAATAGCATTGCTGCAAGCTGGCTATGTTCATTTGACCTGAAGGGTGTCTCACTGTAGTTTCAGCCAATTGTCCTACTTCTAACCTGTGGAACTACTCAGAATAGGTCTATACCATATCCCACATACTAATTTTTCAAATAAATTAAGACTCCTGTCATAGTCTCCCAAGTGTTCCCCCTCCCCAGGTTAAATAGCCCCAGATTATTCTTCTAATCCTCATAGCATAGGATTTCTTTGATGCACTCTAATTTTGTCAGTTTTCATAAAATATGATGCCTTGAACTGAACACATTTTCTAAATGGGTTCTAACTCCTTTATGCTGGAAAAAAAAAATCAACTTTGAGTCTCTGTTTATATTCTTCCCATAAAACAAAAGGAACTTCTTGTTGCGAGAACCACTAAAACCATTATTTATGACTAATAATCAAACTAGCCTTAATATAGTATATACTACATATATATTGTGTGTATGTATATATATATATACATATACACACACAAACTACAAACTATATATGTATATATGTGTATACCTCTTACACATCCTGCAATGTATCATTTTCCTTGAGACTCATACACCTGTGGAAGTCACACTGTATACCTAAAATCCTGATTTTTTAGGTATCTGCCTATACCTGTCTTGTGAGTCAGGTGAAGATGAGTCATCCCCAACCCAGGAGTAAATCTTGATTGGTCTAAGCCAATTAGAGTGTTTCTGGATGGAAGCAATCTCCTTTATCAGGAGATTGGTTTAAAAGTAAGCGTGTGATACAGTTCTGGCCAATTAGATGTGTACGGAAGTCTGCTCAAGTTGCTTCTTGGAAAGATTTCCTCATTCATAAAAAGGAGATTCCAAGAAATGGCCTCTTTCCTGCCTCTGGATATTATATCAGGATATATTGGCAGGAACTGCATTTTGCTATCAGCTGGAAATGTCAGAGTGAAGATATTGAAAGCACATAATCCTTAATGTCAACCAACCCCTCCTCCGTATTTTCTGCCCTTCCTTTATTCTTGCAGTTATATGAGATAATTAACTACCTTATCATTTAAGTCAGATTGAACCAGGGTTCTCTGTTACTTGTGTCCAAAGTCATCTTAATTGATAAACTCTGCCCTTGATGTATTTCAGAAACTGAGTTAACTCTTCATCTAGCCATTGGTGGGAAATCCAAAATCCTCCCAATATTTCTTTGAAATTCCTCAGGCTGACATTCTTCAAGTCCAACTTCTTGATTCTATTGAATTCTTGATCATGCATCTCATCTCCTGTGGCAAAGAGTTTCCTTATGCACTGTGTTCATCCTGCCATGGAACATGACTTCTTTTCCTCAATATAAAAAAATCCATTCATATCAGACACACAGAGCCTGTGCATTGTGTGTGCATATGCGTGCACCAACTTTACTGAAGGTTTAGGTTAAGGGAATAGAGTTTACATTATTCCAGTAAAACACCTTAAAATGGATTATTAGACATTCTTGGTTTTTTTTTTTAAAGATTTTATTTATTTGACAGAGAGACACAGTGAGAGAGGGAACACAAGCAGGGGGAGTGGGAGAGGGAGAAGCAGGCTTCCCACGGAGCAGGGAGCCCGATGCGGGGCTGGATCCCAGAACCCTGGGATCATGACCTGAGCTGAAGGCAGACGTTTAACGACTGAGCCACCCAGGCGCCCCTAGACATTCTTGTTTTTAAACATCCTCAGGAATTCTGTCTGTTGGAAATTTTCACTGATCACCTTCCATAGTAGTCTCTGACTTCAATCTTCAAGCTAATCTCTTCAGGAAGAAGCACTTCATCACAATTCTCAGACCTTGTTTTCAGATTAATTCCATTTTCCATCTACTTAGGGACTGGGGTTTATCTTTACATGTCAAAACTCATTACATGCACTGCTAAATTAGGAGCCATTTACTTTGGGTCTTACTTTTGGGGGTTATAGAAAAGTTGGCAGATAGTTGAAAACTTCAGTCCCTCCGTTCATCCTCTTCTATGAGTATCTGCCAAAGGAAGGAAGCAACACAGAGTAATGTCCTCACTGATTGGAATTCTGCCACTTCATCTTAGAAGAAAGAGCTATAGTAACTGTGAGTTTTATTTATTTATTTATTTATTTATATTTATTATTTTAGAGAGAGAGAGAGAGAGCGCACATAAGCAGAGTTTGGGGGACGGCAGAGGGAGAGGGAGAGAGAGAATCTTAAGCAGGCTCCATGCCCAGCGTGGAACCTGATGCAGGGCTCGATTCCACGACCCGGGGATCATGACCTGAGCTGAAACCCAGAGTTGGACACTTAACCTACTGAGCCACCCAGGCACTCCAAAGTCACTGTGAGTTTTAAAGAATATTTTCCCCCTGTATTAGCATTACAAGAATGCTAATACAAAGAGTATTTGACAATATTAGCAAAGTGAGTCTTCTCAGAAACCTTGAATCTTTTTGTGTGCTGAAGACTTCTATGGCATGGGAATTCCTCATTTCATCACCAGTTTCTATTCAGGGTAAAACTTTGAGTAAAATAAAACTTGACTTTTAAGAACGCTTAGAAATGTATTGTCTACCTATATCCCCGCAAGTCTCTTAGGTATCAAGGAAGCCAAATATGTCACCGCTTTCGTTCAGTGGTGTGTCGGTTGGATTGGGCTGGGGTGTGGTGTCTTTCTGGCAGTAGCGGACTGGGGAATTTTCAGGGAGAGACTGGGTAGGCTGAGTCCACGATATATTTAACAACATCTCTCTAACCAGATATTTTCTTAGGTCTCCTTTCTGACCAGCTGTCTTTTTGAGTCCCTCTGGTCTGCTTCTAGAAAGGATGGAGGTAGCAAACATGATCCCAAAACTATTACTCCACAAAAATTCCCCTTAATTACTCTTTTGTGGTTGCATTTTCTTTTCTTTTCTTTTCTTTTAAAGATTTTATTTATTTGACAGAGAGAGCACAAGCAGACGGAGAGAGAGGGAGAAGCAGGTTCCCTGCTGAGCTAGGAGCCTGATGTGGGACTCGATCCCAGGACCCTGGGATCATGACCTGGGCCGAAGGCAGCTGCTTAACCGACTGAGCCACCCAGGTGTCCCTGTGGTTGCATTTTCAAAAGTAATCTGCTCTCTTAATACATTCATTTTTTTCATTCATTCCTTCATTCAATATTTATTGTTTTCTATATGCTCAGTATGCCTCATCATTATTCTCCTTGAAGTTAGAATATTCATGAATATACTTCAATCTCTTGTTATTTCATAACCGTGTCAAATCGATATAATGCTCTTCCTAAGGATTCAAATGGGATTCAATGCAACAAGGACCAGTTAGGTCAAGGGAAGTTGGGCTGTTCTTTACAGTTTATTGTTACACTTATTGTCAGTTATTCTTTTCTTTTTTTTTTAAAGATTTTATTTATTTGACAGAGAGAGACACAGCGAGAGAGGGAACACAAGCAGGGGGAGCGGGAGAGGGAGAAGCAGGCCTCCCGCCGAGCAGGGGGCCCGATGTGGGGCTCGATCCCAGGACCTTGGGATCATGACCTGAGCCCAAGGCAGATGCTTAACGACTGAGCCACCCAGTCGCCCCTATTTTACCATTTTTTTTTTTTAAAGATTTTATTTATTTATTTGACAGAGACAGAGACAGCGAGAGCAGGAACACAAGCAGGGGGAGTGGGAGAGGGAGAAGCAGGCTTCCCGCTGAGCAGGGAGCCCAATGTGGGGCTCGATCCCAGGACCCTGGGATCATGACCTGAGCCGAAGGCAGACGCTTAACGACTGAGCCACCCAGGCGCCCCTATTGTCAGTTATTCTTGAGAATTCAAAAGAAATAGTGCCATAAGCAGATTTGTTTACTAGTGTTACTTGGCTCCGTAAACATTTTACAGTGTTTTCATAAAAGTAGTAGAGGTGATTACAGAACTTCAACTTGAATAAAATTAAACAATGAGATTTATTCTGTTGCTGATCTCAGTCTGCTCACTGTAGCTACCGACTTAGTCAGTTGTAATGTCAGATACTGAACATGCTCTTGGCATAGAGTTTAGTAATATGATGCCGGTTCCAAAAGACTTAGATAACTTTTTAGAATTGTGCCTACCCAAAAAGCGATTTCATTTTGCTCTTTTTTTTTTTTTAAAGATTTTATTTATTTATTTGAGAGAGAGAGAATGAGAGACACAGAGCGTGAGAGGGAGGAGGGTCAGAGGGAGAAGCAGACTCCCTGCCGAGCCGGGAGCCCGATGCGGGACTCGATCCTGGGACTCCAGGATCATGACCTGAGCCGAAGGCAGTCGCCTAACCGACTGAGCCACCCAGGCGCCCTCATTTTGCTCTTGATAATGTTTGGTTCGAACAATGTTTGCTTATGCAAAATAATACTAACCAAAGCATCTCTTTCAGAATAGATCGAAACCACCAAGAACTACACTTATAAATAAACATACACAGTTTTTTAAAGATGATGCTGCAACTAAACTCCTGGACTCATTTCCTGAGGCTGCCATAACAAAGTACCACAAACTTTGGGTGCTGAAACAAGAGAACCTCACAGTTCCGGACGCTAGACATTTAAGTTCAAGGTGTGGACAGGGTTGATTTCTTCTGCCAGGATGGGGTTGGGAGGGAGAATCTCCCCTGTGGCTTCTGATGGTCTGTTGACAATCATGGGTGGTCCGTGGCTTGAGGATGCATCACCCCAAAGCTGTCTTCATCTTCATATGGTGTTTCCCCTGGTGTATGTGTCTATCCCCAAAGCACCCTTTAAATAAGGACATCAGTAATACTGGATTAGAGGCCTACACTTCTCTCGTATGACATCATCTTAATGATATCTGCAACAACCCTATTTCCAAATGAGATCACATTCTGAAGTACTGGGGATTAGGACTTCAACATAAGAATTGGAGGGGGAGGGGCCCCTGGGTGGTTGGTTAAGCATCTGACTCTTGGTTTCAGCTCAGGTCATGATCTCAGGGTCCTGGGATGGAACCCCGTGTCAGGCTCTGCCCTCAGCAGGGAGTCTGTTTGAGATTCTCTCTCTGACCCTCCCCCATTCTCTCTCGTCTCAAAATAAATAAATAAAGTCTTTTAAAAAAACAATTTTGGGGGGACACAATTCAACCCATAAGACTTGTAATTAAAATTATGTTTTGTAATAATTGTTCTTCCATTCCTTCAACAGATATTTATCACTTGTGTGCCAAGCACTATGCCAGATACTGGGAATACCATAATAAATAAGATACACACCTTGCCCTCAAAAAACTTTAGTTCATGGATTTGTGCCCCTTTTCACTTCCAAGGAAATGAAATAAAACACAAAGGGACTATGAATGATCATAAACCATATGGCAGGATAGCTAAAAACAATAATAATGGTCAATATTTGTTGGACACTATGCAGTGCCATCCTGTAAATTATCTCACTGAACCCTTAAAACAACACTACAAAGTAGGAACTATTATCACTTCTATTTATAGATAAGGAAACTGAGGCTCTGGAAAGGCTAACAGATGACCGCGGGAGAATTTAACCTGATGGTCTGGCACTTGAGCTGGATTCCCTTGCTACCTAATCCTTACATTTACGTACATCTTGTAATGGCAGGAAGAATTGAAACGTGTCTTTCTTTCCTTTTTTTTTTAAGATTTTATTTCTTTATTTGCGAAAGAAAGAGAGTATGAGGGAGAGGGAGAAGCAGGCTCCCCGTGGAGCAGGGATCCCATTGAGGGACTCAATCCCAGGACTCCAGGATCGTGATCTGAGCCCAAGGCAGATGCTTAACCGATTGAGCCACCCAGGCGGCCCTGAAAGCATGTCTTTCTATCATCTTTGAACAGTGTGTAAAGTAATATCTATGACTAATCCAGGGTAGGGTTATCATTTCTTCCCTTTTTTGCTTTCTTTCTGACTTGTCAACATTCACAAATCCATTTGTTTCTTTTGTCAGCATTTCTTCCTATGTATCTTACTTCACCTTTCCCCCCCTTTCCAGAGAGGGCTTCCCTTTCTACCCAGAAAGTGAATTTGCACCGCAGATTATGTTAAATCCAGGTTCTGTACAGAGAAGTTTAATGGGAAGGTAGTTGGCATACTCTTCTAGGACAAAGAACAGAAAGCATCTTACCTTTTAGAGATAAGCCTTTTGGAAAGGGGTTCTTTCCAGAATTGAAAACAATCCTGTTTTCAGGCTGTATCTATTGAATCTACCTCTCCCTCTATCAAAAGCCCAGCATCTCGGTGCTACTGCTGATAACGGGCTTCTTATTGACCTGGTGACAGTAGATAAGGGGTTGTTGGCTGATCAGAGGGGTATCTTTTCTCCACGATTTAAGGCAAAAATGTAACTCAGTAACAGCACCTTTGTGAAGAAAAACAAAATGTAATAAGCTGAGGTCAGCTAGTTCTTCGAGCTGATAAGTCTCCAAAATTAAACTCATAATAAATTAAGCGGGTGCCCAGTCATACATTTCACTGTCTCTTTTCTAATAAGTGACACGGTTCTGAGGGTGAAACGATTCTGTTTGATTATGTAGTGCATTGTAAGTAATACAAGAAGGGTACCTAGGGCATATATATCTCTATATTTATATAAATATAGATAAATAAATATATATATATTTACATTTCCTAAAGACTTTAATAAGATCCTCTGTATTGTAAAGAGGCACAGTTCAAAAATAACTCCATTTTAGGGACAAGCCTTGCATTTCTAATGTGTTAAATGATGGCAAACCCCACAGTTACTGTGATTTATTCCAGAAATGTCTTTTAAAGTTTAGGTACTAATTATCACTGGAAGGACAAACTGAAAGAAGGTCAATTCCAGCAGTGTAGAATATTTGTTTCTAAAATCTTTCCCTTGAAATTTGTATAGACACAACCCATTTGCTTATTGTAATGTTAATTAATTTCCCAACATTAGGTGCATCTTGGGCACAGTCATTAATTTATCCAACAAACATGTATTGAGGATCTACTTTATTCCAGGTACCGACCTAAAAGCTGAGGATTCACAGTGAAGTGAGAGATAAGAGCATATCCTCAAGGAGTAGATTGTCAAATAGGGGCGACGGGGACGTAAATAGGGCATTTCAATGCAATGTGGTAAGTAATAGGATGCAAGTATGTACAGGGAGTCTGCAAGCCACAGCCTAAGCCAGGCTGTGAGGTGAGTGGAGTCAGGAAAGTAATCCAGGAGATGGAAACATTTAAGCTACCTCATGAGTAATATCTATTGTTAGAGGTGACTTACAGATCGCCAGATCTGGTAAAACTCGATTTTGTCAGTTCCCAAATGTTCCAAATAGTAAGTGCCTTCCTTTTGCAAACTCTAAAAAAAGAAAAAAATATTTTGATGATGGAGAATTCAGCCATGTGTGACTTCCTTTGTCTTTTCTAGCTCAATTAATAAAGGCCAGAGACATTAAGAAAAAGATGTTTTCAATGGAGAAAATTAACAACTGGGCAGGAACTTAAATGCTTGAGTTAGAGAAAGAAATATCCTGTATACAGTCTTAATCAGAAAGAAACAGGTATGATTTCTTCTCATTTCAGGAGGGCTTAATGTGAGACAGTTTCCAAATGTGTTCCTTAGATACCAAACCTCTGTTCTTTCCATCTTTAAAGATTTTATTTATTTATTTTTTTAGAGAGCGAGCGAGAAACAGCATGAGAGGGGAGAGGGTCAGAGGGAGAAGCAGGCTCCCCACGGAGCGGGGAGCCCGATGTGGGACTCGATCCCAGGACCCTGGGATCATGACCTGAGCCGAAGGCAGACGCTTAACCATCTGAGCCACCCAGGCGCCCATGTTCTTTCCATCTTTAAAACCACTCATTCCAGGCTTAAAAGTCAGCCATATATCTGTTTACTGACACCACACACAGCTTTGAATAAGTGTGATGATAGCAACAGTAATTGTACTTCAGAGTCAGAGGTGAGGGGCCCATTTCCCCCTCCTTTTGTAATACAGCAGTTACTGAAAAAGTCGTTTAGGAACTTTTTATTCACTTATTCAGATATTATTCACCATTAAAAAATTATTGTATGGCATGTAAATTATATCTTAATGAAGCTGTTTTATTTTATTTTTTTTACTTTTTAAAAGAGATTTATTTATTTTAGAGAGAAAGAGGGTGAGCAGAGGGAGGGGCATAAGGAGTGGAAGAGGGAGAGAAGCAGACTCCCCACTGAGCACAGAGCCAGACGTGTGGCTCAGTCTCACAACCCTGAGATCCAGACTTGAGCTGAAATCAAAGATGATTAACCGACTGAGCTACTCAGGCGTCCCAATAGAGCTGTTTTAAAAGACATTTATAGTTTGTGCCAATGTCATCTCCCACCCTCAGTCCCAATGAGACCAGCACCAGCACCATAGTTTGGCACAAAGATTCCTCTTATTGTTCTTGTTCTCCTCCTCCTCCTCTTTCTTCTTTTCTCCTTCTCCTTCTTCTTTCTTTCTCCTCCTCCTCCTCCTCCTCCTCCTCCTTCTCCTTCTCCTCCTTCTTCTTCTTTAAGGTTTCTTGAATTGAGTAGACTATGTGGCCTAGTTGTGTCCCTCTATAGGGCTTTCTATCTTCTTTGGCGCATGTGACAATCTTTTCTCCTTTCATGGTTATTACATTAGATATGAACTCAAAATCCCCTTTATTCAGAAATGGACAGTACAATCCTCTAGAAAAAGTCTATATAAATATTTTTGTCAATAAAAAGAGAACAATGAATGGAATGCTTGGAAATGTTCCCAGGCACTTCGTCAACCTTGGAAAAATAATCCCCTGTCTAAATTGTTTCTATTCACTAATCCACAGGAATAGAATTGGAAAGATAAATCAGGACAAGTAAAATCATATAAGTAGGGAGGTTCTGGAGAAAAAGTAGCCTGACAGCTTCTTTTCAGCAGAGAAATGAAATAGCAGCACCAGAAGATGAGGGGAGAGGCAGGCGGTCCTCTTTCCAAATATTTTATCTCTAAAAAGTGAAAAAACAAATCAAAGCATATTTTGGTAGGGACCAACAGGGTTGGTATAAATAAATACAATGCAGATGTCTAGATATGGAGCGATTTTTCTTGGTTAAAGGGGAAAAAATGAGGTTCCACTTCCATTAATGGTTGAGTAGCTTGAATCAGATCAACCAATCCATAGGTAACACTTTTAAGTTCTGTGCAAAATATAAGAAAACAACTGTATGAAAGCACTGAAAAATGACCAAAGCGGGCAGAAAGTGGAGAGTTGACACTTGGAAGAAGGGAAGGACATTAGATGAGCTTTCCATTTTTAATGACTCTACCTGAGGGCTGACTCCCGTCAGCATCATGCAGTGTAGTTAAGGCTCAGACACTTGTAATCTCACAGGTTAAATATTCAGAATCAGTGCTTGGAGCAACTACATTTGAAACATGAAGGAGAATAATCCAGAAAGGAGAGGGCCATAGAGGGGTCTCCAATTTATGAGTATAAACTCTGCATCAACTTCTCGCTGATTCCTGCACTATGTGTGTGCAGGGCAGAATCCAAGCAACCTCTATAAAGCTAAAAGAACTGAACAGAGATTTCAGCTGCAGCCCAACACAGAAGAGTCAGAGTTTGGAGCCTAAATTCTGCCAAGTTAACTGTCTTCTGTTACAAAAATTGATACTCTTGAGAACATAATGGAGTTCAGTCTCTACAATGTATCATCCAACATGTCCAGTGCAAGATCCAAAATTACTAGAGTGAAGAAGAAACAGGAAAGTGTGACCAATAGTCAAAGAAAAAGATAATCAATAGAGACCAACCCTAGGATGTCTCTGATTATAATTAGCAGACAAGGATTTTAAAGACAGTTACTGTAACATACTTAAGGATATAAAAGAAAATATAATTGCAATGAACAAACATATAGGACATCCCGGCAGAGAAACAGAAATTAAAAAGAAATAGCCAAATGGGGGCACCTGGGTGGCTCAGTTGGTTAAGCATCTGATTCTTTTTATTAAAAGATTTTATTTATTTATTTGAGAGAGAGCGAGCGAGCATGTGTTTGTGAGTGTGCACGAGTGGGGGGTGGGGAAAGGAGCTGAGGGGGAGGGAGAATCTCAAGCAGACTCTGCACTGAACATGGAGCCCTACATGGGGCTCGATCTCACGACCTTGAGATCATGTCCTGAGTGAAAACCAAGAGTTGGACACTCAACCACCCAGGTGCCCCAAGTGTCTGACTCTTGATTTCAGCTCGGGTCTTGATCTCAGGGTAGTGAGTTCAAGCCCTGTATTAGGCTCCACACTGGGTGTGGAGTGTACTTAAAACAACAACAACAACAACAATAAAAGAAAAAAAAAACAGAGAAAGAAAAGAAATAGCCAAATGGAAATTCTAGAACTAGTTATTAAAATACCCGATATAAAAAATCCACTGAATAGCTTTAACTTCAGATTGGAGATAACAGAAGAAAAGAATTAGTACCCTTAAAGTTAGATCAATAAATTAATCCAATCTTAAAAAAGCAGAAGAAAACCTGGGAAAAATGAGCAGAGCCCCAAGTGACTTGTGGAACAATATCGAGAGGTCTAACACTGTGTGTAAATGGAGACCTATAAGGAGAGAGAGAGAGGTGTTTCCAAATTTGGTGAAATATCCAAGACTCTTGGCAAACTCCCAAGCACATGAAGTACAAAGATAAGCACACCGAGGCACATCCTCCTTAAACTACTGAAATCCACTATTAAAGAGAAAATCTTTAAAGCAGCCAGAGAAAAAAAAAGCACATTTGTAAACAGGGCAGCAATGATACATAATGGCAGTTGACTTCCTACCAGAAGCCAAAAGGCAGTTAAATGGCATATTTAAGATGCTGAAAGAAAAAAAAAACCCAAGAACCTGGAACTTTGTATTTATTTTATATCTAGTGAAAGTGTCTATGATTTTACATCTGGCAAAGATACCCTCAAGAATAAAAATGAAATAAAGGCATTTTAATGTCATTGAAAACTGAGAGTCTCCATTGTTCGTACAACAGCACTTTACAAAAAACACCAAAGAAATATTTAGGATTGTGTACCAAACAGCATCCTTCATGTTTGTTGTAGTTGTTTGTGGTCCCAAGAAGCCACACCTGGAACAAAGTTTCAGGTGAAGTAGTGTATTTAGTAGAGGTTATGGGCTGAATTGGGTCCCTCCCAAGTTTATATGTTGAAGTCCTAATCTCCGGTACCTCAGAATATGACCATATTTAGAGATAAAGACTTTAAAAAGCTGATTAAAAGGAGGTCCCTAAAGTTAAGGTGGGCCTAACCCAGTATTACTGCAGTTTTTATAAGAAGAGGAGACATGGACATGGGGCGAGATAGCAGGAACGTGAGTGCATGACCATGTGGAGGACGCAGGGAGGCGGCAGCCATGTGCAAGCCTCAGACAGAGGCCTCAGAAGGGACAAAACCTGCTCACACCTTGATCTCAGATTTCTTGCCTCCAGAACTGTGAGGAAACACATTTCTGTTGTGTAAGGCACCCAGACTATTGCATTTTGTTATGGCAGCCCCAGCAAACGAATACAGAAGGTGGTGGTCCCAGGGAACACGGTAGAAAAGTGGGGAAGACAGAGAGGTCACTGGTGCAAGGTGTGTTAGGAAGCTGTGTGGGCGACCACCAAGGTGGGCACTCCAGTGGAGAGGCCTGAGGGGATGTTGCCAAAGATCATAGCGTTTAGGGGGATAGGTTTGCCGCCAGGTGGATAGGAGTTCAATCTTACTGGCTCTTGATTTATCTGTAAAATAGGGATAACAGGGGGCGCCTGGGTGTCTCAGTCGTTAAGCATCTGCCTTCAGCTCAGGTCATGATCCCAGGGTCCTGGGATCGAGCCCCGCATCGGGTTCCCTGCTCCGCGGGAAGGCTGCTTCTCCCTCTCCCACTCCCCCTGCTTGTGTTCCCTCTCTCACTGTGTGTCTCTCTCTCTGTCAAATAAATAAATAAATAAAATCTTAAAAAAAAATAGGGATAACAGTAGCACTTAATGAGAATAAAATAACAGTTACCCTATGAAACCCTTAGCCAGTGTTTCACATAATCTAAGTGCTCAATGAGTTTCATGATTTTATCATTTAATAAATAGATTATAAATAATAATCATCTCATGACAAGTGATGATAATTACATCTAAAATATCTCCACTAATTGAAATGATTAAAATTTAAGTTATGTTGGGAATCTTAACTCTATTACTGTAGTTTATAAGTGTTTAGCATAGTGTCTTAGTAAATACTTAGTATACTAAATACTTAAATACATATTGTATATTCAGTAATAATCCATTTATATACACATGTGATTTTCATGTTGATGGGGCTGGGCTGCG